TGTTTGATCATCTTCCGCGCACGATTTCGCACGAGTTTGCGCATCAACTCTTCAATTAACATTCATCGTGCGTCGATTTAATTTTTAATGGAGAAAAAGAAAGAAAAAAGAAGGAAAAGAAAATTTTTTGCGTTTCTAAAGTCTTCCTTTGTTTGCGTTCCGTGTGCGTCTTGGTTGCGGCGGATCCACGGAGCGGAATCTAGCGGAAGAGCGGTTAAAAAGAAAAAAAAAAAAATGGGCGAAAAAGCAGACTGTGGCAATAATGGCGTTCGATTTCGCTTACGTTCTCGGATAACGGCGGGACAGCGATCACGTACGGCGCGAAGGAGCACGTCAAAGTCCGTTGCTCGCTTATAAATATTCTCGCGTTGCTTTTTCCACGCTTCCAATCGCGCGACCAATCGAAGATTACATCATTGCTCGACGTTTACACTGGCCGTTAAATATGCATCGTTGCCTCTCCCCTCCTATACACTTCCTAGGATGTTGCACGCTCGAGCACATGATCATGTTGACACGCTTGTCGATCTCGGTAATCGGCCGATTTAATAAGATGGAAAATGATGGAGGCGAACGGTAGCTCGACAAAATTCCAACATCGTTAGTTCCGCGACGAAATTGGCTCGTTTCGAGGCGAGATAGCTACGTTTAATTTTAATACTCTCGTTAGAGAAAGCCTTTCTTGCACCCTTTCGCGATAATATTACCCTCCCCTCCCCTCCCCTTTCTTCCTGTGAATTTTCTCTCTTCGCTTCGGCCGAATCTTTCGAACGAAAATAAAACGTACATTCGTTGGAACGAAAGTTGGCCATTCAGAGGGGAAGGCTAGGCTATCCTTGATTAAAATGATAACGATCTGGAGCAATCTTACTTTTTCTAAAGTTTGCTTTGCTGCTTTCTTTTTTTCTTATTTTTTCGAGATTTAGTACATTTATTGGCCGATTCATTTAACCTTTGAGTTTTGAAGAGCGATGAATATCGATGAAGTCTTTTTTCATTATTTATTTCATAATTATTATAAAATTCGAGTCGCGTATTTTTGAATACAAAACGGAAACGTGTAGATATACGTAACGCATATAGTAAGTGATAACAGTGATAACGAAACACTCGACACTCGGAATAGAAGCGTTCTGTGTATGCTCGCAGAAATCGTTACCATATATATGTACGTGTATATATACGCGTAACGTCCGATATGTTGATTCTGAGAGACGCCTGGAAATGTGCCTGATATTCAAACGAGAGTTAGTTATCTTATTTGCAAACGTCTTCCGATATCTATTTTTTAAAATTATCCCTTCGGATCCAACCTCGTTGGCTCGTAAGAAGAGTATAAATATATAGAAGGTAATTCCAATTAATAATAATCGAAGAGGGAAACAACCGATACTCTATGTAAATAACACGTATACAGATCGATTCTATTCTTGTATCCTCGATACACATCCAGCGTGGGAGACGATCGTATGCCTCAAGTAATTGGAGAACCATCGACGTATTGTAACCTCAAAACACTAAGACAGTCTCGTGTCTGGCCACCAATAACGGTGAGTGCTCTTAATCCTAAATTGAAAGCAGTATCCGAACACGTGATCCCAGCTGGCTAATTTCCTTCCGGAATCTATTTCCGTTAGATATCGGCGTAAAATTCGGGACAAAGTCACGAAATATAGTGCGAAGATAATTTTGTTTAAACGCGAAATATAGATATTTCAACGAGCGAGGAAAGATAAGTTGTGTTTGCTTTGGCCTAAATGTTCGTCTATCGGGTAAGATTAACATAGTTTTGTATAATCAAAATGGTCGATAACGTGCGTTTACGTTTCACGTATTAAAACCTACTGATAAGAAAACGGTTGCTTCGGATCGTGTTTCGTACAGCATGGATATTCAACTTTGCCTCGTAAATCAAGGAGGAAACAGTTATTTTTATTTGCAATTATTCGATATAGAGAATTTTACAACGAAGAAAGAATGATCGCAAGTTATTTATCTCAAGTAAAAGGGTTGAGAAACACTGCTATAAAATTTTTTTTCAAATTTCTCTTCGAATAATATTATTTGTTGTTACCGTTATTGTCGAAGATTCTCAGCTAATTTATTAGGCATGTTACTCGCATAATGCAAACCTACTCCAGATTACATCAAACAAGAAAATATATTACCGTTATTATTATACGATCATAAAATACTTGGAAAACGTATACGAACGAAACGTGTATTGTGTATCAGATCCGCGAGGAAAATCGTGAAACAGCATGACGTACCACGACAGAGTCGAAGTGGAAATATTCATGCGGTCGGTTCTCTTGGTCGGTTTGAATACGAAAGAAGGTAAAAGAGCGCGTTAAATCTGTCGAGCGGAGGACGTAAGCTGGTACTTTAAGTAACGAGAAAACTACTTCAACCTTGACTGAACCGTTCTACGTGCGATTCACTTAGTGGACGCGTCGCGAAACCACAACTATCCGTCTGGAATTCAAACTACCTTGACGATCTCTGCTAGATAGATATTATAATTAAGAATCACTATCGAGGCAACGATCTTGCAATTTTTTATTTATATTCGATATATAAATAAAACGCGAAAATAGCTAAAAGTAGCTCCCGAAACGTATTTTAAAACGGAAGAAACTTTGAAAAAATGCTTTTTAAAGTAATAATTTTTCAAATATTTTCGAAATTTTAACGCTTAACTTACTTTCTACTTCGAGAAACTTTAGACAAATTTCACGTCAAGTTGATTGATAATACGATTGATTTATATTTTTCTTCTTTATCTTCGTTATTTCGAGAATATCAATATCGTGAATTAAAGTTTAAAGTAGCTGCTATAGTAGCTACTTTAATGAAGCAAATTACGAGACACAATCGAACGCCTCCGCTAGATCGATAAAAAAGCACGAAGTTAACCTCAAAATGAACCGGCACGATGGCTAATATGTATTAGCACGATCATCTTGCGGGACGAGAAATATCTATAGTGTCGCACGTCGGATTTCTTGTCGTCGGTTGACCCGTTCTCTCTGATCCTCTGTTGCTCTCTTTTTCACGGATCCATTCGTCACACTCGCTCCTGTTATCCTATCCTACGCCTCCTTCATAGGCTTTACGCCATGGGAACCGGTATGACCGGAACGAACAGGCGGAATTCTTTCTATGACTGTCAAAACAAGTCTGTCGAGCGTTCCGCTAATTTAACGAACTCGTATCGTTCGGCCTAATCGACCATGCAGGATTTATTTGCATTTCGTTCAAACGAAGTGACAAAGTTCGACCGAAAGTTTATCGAAACTACATGACTATACGCACGAACAAAATCGATAATATGAGAATTTTTCTATATTTCATTCTTATTCATACTTTATTTCGTCTTCTTCTTTAAATATTTTTTCAAAATATATTGTTTGTAAAAATGACTGTACTTACGTCTCTCGATAATATGCTATAAACGTTTCACACGTTTGACTTACATATACGTGTGATTATTTCGAAATATCAACAGTTGCAAGATTATTAAGAATGCAAACAGTGAACAGAAGAATATGAACAATCTTTATAATTAGAAAAAATTATCGCGTATCGACGATATATTAAACGTCTTATATTGCGTCAAATTGCAATAAGTCTTAAGAATAATAAAATAATCGTGATATTCAAACGGCGTGAAACACGTGTCAAAACAACGGTCGCCATTTTTTATGTTTTTTGCGTTCTAGATTCCCGCGTATTTCCACCATAACCCTGACAAGATCACATCGCGCAAATAACCTCTTTTCAATCGAGTAATAAACAACGACTTACCGAGCGCGTTCTCGGGACGACCGCGTGACAGCAAAAAAATAAACACGACGCGAGGAAGATTCACCGCAAGTTTGTAGAGTTTCCCGCGTGCTGCGAATGAACGAAGAGATTGCGTAACGCAGCAACTTGTTCGCACAACGAGTTCGATCCACGACGAAGGACACACTTAATTTATCGGGTAGGCACGCGAGATAACACTGATACGTTCGCACAACGTGTCACGTGGAGGCAAGGACAATCCATTTGTTTTGGTATGAAATAGGAAACGAACGGAGTCCGCACGAAAGTTGGAGAAGAGAGGCGCAACGAACACCTTCCACCGCGACGGCTGGAACGCGACTGACTGGCTGTGCCCGCTGGCTTACCGCTACGCATACGACCTCGAGTTTCGAATTACGCGCGGCTTAACGACTCTACATTCTGTATCTGTCAGTCTTACAGCTCGGAGATGAATACGAGGATATTACGTGATCATTTTCGAGCTGCCGTGTTCACGCACGAAACGTACGTAGACGTGAAAAGTCGATTTGTCCGTTCGTTCGTTTGAACGAAAAAATCACTAGATATCTTTTTTCTCGACAAAAGAATCGGGTAGCTAGGGACATTTTTGTATATTTTACTAATCTATTATATCTAACTGTATGATATATATATATATCATACAGTTTATCCATGATGACTAATAATAGACTTTTGGCAAATATAGATTGAAAATAACGATGATTCTGTTTAGTCGGTTATATCAAACATTTCAATTGCTGGAATATTGTTAAATTACGATACGCTTAACCGTAGTAATTTACCACGATAGTAGGGAAATCGATTGCGTTGACAACATAGCAAACAGGGGAAAACCGATTCACAATAAGACTAACCCACGTAAATTCTATTATGTAGGAGCCGTCTATTGTTCCGCGTTACTTGCATATATCGTCGAGAAACAAAGCAACAAAGGGATTAGCAAAATACACGACAGTGAGCAACATAAACAAATGATCGCTATCAACCCCAATGTGATATACGATAATAAAGCAGTTAACAGCATTCCCAAATAAAGGCTCGGAGCGAGAAAATCAAAGCCTCCGAGCCTCCGGGTATTAATCAAGGGAGCGGAAACGTAATCGCTGAAAATAATAGAAAATGAAATGAATGAAGAAAAGGAAGGAGTAATTATCGAGAATAATGAGAATCGGTGATCGCAGAAAAAAGATTTTTTATTACGAAATCCAATCAACTCGTGTAAGGAAGTGTTGATAAAACATTTGCATTAATCTTCGAATAAAACGCGTCGTATCGTATTATATTATTATTTACATAAAAATATCGCGATATAACTTGCATATATTTATCTCGTGTTAATTCTCGTTCGATTTCAATCGATAGAAAATTCAGTAGTAGGAACATGAGCCTTGACGATTAACGGCTTATGACCACTTCCACCCCTCGTAGAGCAACACGGCTTTATTTATATTCCTCCTATTGTTATTAGGCGGAGACAAGAGTGGAAAATTTTCCAGGCACCCAGTGATGATACTCTCGATTGAGTTTGTAGAAGAAAAAAAAAAAAAAAAAAAAAAAAAAAAAAAAAAAAGAAAAAAAACACGTCAATGACAAACAACATCCCCTTTTCTTTCTTCTTTCCTCCCCCTCCCCCTCGATATACAACACTGTTATCTTTCTCGCTCTGCCTAGCTTTCATTCTTCGAGATACGCATGACTGACGAATACCGTGACGTTGAAAGTGACGCGTATACGGGACGAAAATAATGGTTACGACGATGACGATGATGATGACGGTGATGACGACGATGACAAGGCAACGCATGAACCGTGATGCGTCGAGTATGATACGGCTCGACGCATATACGTTTGTAATATCCGTACTCTAGCTTATCCGTGTGCACGTTTCATGCAAATTCGGACGATGCAACGAATGGTAATCGTGTAGCGAGGTGACCATTCAACGTCCGTTTCAACTTTGACGAAGTTACGATGCCGGTGCTGAAAAGAAAAGAAGATAGGAATTATTATTATTTAGAGAGAGAGAGAGAGAGAGAGGAGGAAATTACTACTTCTTCATCTACGTTAGCTTCCCCTTCCCGCTGATGCGGAAGGGATCTAGTTTTTGTTGGATTAATCGAGTTTTTCTTTTACTTTTAGTCCTTTTAGCTCGGTCGTTACTTTCTCGAAGAATTCAAGAATTCGCTCTTCTTCCACTTTTGTCAAAGTTTTCGAAGATTTGTAAGAGGTTTTTCCTCCCATTATTATTATTATTATTACTATTATTATACAAGCTCTCCGATGGATCGATTACTGTTACTGCCTATCGTTTTATTCATTGTTTGGTCGTTCGGTAAAATAGTTACGGAAAGTTCGAGAGCGAGGAAGTAGAATTATAAAAGTTACAGTAGCATCTGCTCGAACCGTAGTTGATCGAGAAGATGCGAAAGATTTGGTCGTTAGAGAGGTTTAGTTTCTTTTGTCAACAAATACGTCATCACGTTCGAGACGTATATAAGATGATACGATTAGTCAAACTACCTTTGTGCGAACGTTACTCGTTACTGGCTGATGACTAGATTTTTAGTCCTCTACTAGAACGTCAACCTTTCATTATCTTAACATACCGTATGTGATGAACTTCGAACCACGAATTACTGGACGAATGACGGGGCTGACGTTCAGTGTAACTTTCAAAAGTAATATTACCTTAGCTAGAAATTAAGTTGAAAAAAAGGGGGATTAAAAAAATCGACGAGGCAGAGAGAAAGAGAGAAAAAAAAGAAAAATAATAAACGAAAAGTAACCTCCGTTTGAACTTTCGAAGCAAGGCGAGAATCGAGTTACAAAAATTACTGTTTTCGTAAAAAGAGAGAGAGAGAGAGAGAGAGAGAAAAAATTGGTCAAAAATAACTGAACCGAATTTCACCGAGTGATAAATGGCGGATATAGAGGAGAAGCATTTGATTGATCCTGCGTTGAACTGCTTGAAATGCTTAATCGAGGCAAAGGGAGCGAATAAAGGGGAGCGGATTACCTTCGGCGGGCGGGGGTGCCGGCGCAGCTTCCGCCGGGGGCGCAGCTGGGGCAGCCTCGGCTGGCGCTGCAGGTGGCGCTGCCTCCGCAGGAGGCGCCGCACCTTCGGCCGGAGGTGGTGCCGGGGTTCCTTCCGCTGGTGGTGGCGGTGCTGGTGCACCTTCCGCTGGTGGTGCCGCGCCTTCGTAAATTCACACAAACGCTTTAGTCAAGCACTTCGGATTCTCGACCGATTAACACGTCACGCGTCATTAATTTAACAAATCAACAAAGATCAGACGAATCAATTGCAATTAATGAATTAATGAAATTAATAAGTACAGACTTGTGAATAGGTTCCTTGGATCTCTTTATTATTAGGAAGTGTATCAAAATCATGTTATGTTACTTGTAAGATAATCTCGTGTCTCCAATTTGCTATTTCCCCCCCTTTCGAAAAAAGGATTGGTCGAACGTGATTGATATAATAAATTAAAGATCAGACAAATCGTTGCAATTAATGAATTAACCATTCGAGTTGAGGCAAATCATTACGACAACTCGAGCGAGAAGCGAATGATTTAATAATTTAATAAATGTATAGTAACTATGAATAGGTTCCTTGGATTTTTATCTTTTTATTATTAGGAAGTGTATCAAAATCATGTTACGTTATCTGTAAGACAATCTCGTATCTCGAGTATGCTACTTTCTTTCTTTCGAAAAAAGGGTTGGTTTATATGATTAATTTAAGAAATTAAAGATCAGACGAATCGTTGGAATTAACAAATTTTGCGCTCGAGTTGAGAATGATTTAATAAGAGCACAGTATCTCTTTATTATTAGAAAGTATATGAAAATCGTTTCACGTATCTCGAGTATGCAACTTCCCCTCTTTCGAAAAAAGAATTGGTCGAGCGTGATTAATTTAAGAAATTAAAGATCAGACGAAATTAACGAATTAACCTTTTGCGCTCGAGTTGAGGCGAGTGATTTAATAAGAGCACGATATAGATTTGTGAATAGGTTCCTTGGATCTTTATCTCTTTATTGTTAGGAAGTGTATCAAAATCATGTTACCTGTAAGACAATCTCATATCTCGAGTATGCTACTTTCTTCCTTTCGAAAAAAGGGTTAATCGAGCGTGATTAATTTAAGAAATTAAAGATCAGACGAATCGTTGGAATTGAATTAATCGTTTGCGCTCGAGTTGAGGCGAGTGATTTAATAAGAACATAGTACAGATTTGTGAATAAGTTTCTTGGATCTTTATCTCTTTCTTATTGCAAAGTATATATCAAAATTATTTTACGTATCTCGAATATGCTACTTTCTTCCTTTCGAAAAAAGAGTTGATCGAGCGTGATTAATTTAAGAAATTAAAGATCAGACGAATGGTAGAAATTAACGAATTAACCTTTTGCGCTCGAGCTGAGGCGAGTGATTTAGTAAGAGCATAATATAGATTTGTGAATAAGTTCTTTGGATTTTTATATTTTTGTTATTAGGAAGCGTATAAAAATAGTTTCACGTATCTCGAGTATGCTATTTCCCCCCTTTCGAAAAAAGGGTTGGTCGATTAATTTAAGAAATTAAAGATGAGAAAAATCGTTGGAATTAACAAATTTTGCGCTCGAGTTGAGGCTCGAGTGATTTAATAAGAACACAGTATAGATACACACATACATATCTCGAGTATGCTATTTCCCCCTTTCGAAAAAAGGGTCGAGTTGAGACGAGTGATTAATAAGAACACAGTATCTCTTTGTTATTAAAAAGTATATATAAAAATGATTTCACGTGTCTCGAGTATGGGACTTGCCCCCTTTCGAGAAAAGGGGTTGGTCGAGCGCAAAAGGGTTGAGAGGTTAGAAGGAAACGAAGAAGGAAGAATGCGAGAGGAACGGATCGTTTGCAAACGAGTTTGTGAAAGATCGTAAAAGCTGGGACGAGATCACCTTCAGTCGGTGGTGGTGCGGGCGCCCCTTCCGCGGGCGGCGCAGGTTGGGCGGGCGGCGCACCTTCCGCAGGTGGCGCACCTTCCGCTGGCGGTGCCCCCTCCGGCGGTGGCGGTGCGCCCTCGGCAGGAGGCGCACCCTCGGCAGGGGGCGCGCTTTGAGCGGGAGGTGCCCCCTCGGCGGGAGGTGCGGCCGGCGCGCCCTCCGCTGGTGGCGCTGCTCCCTCCGCAGGAGCAGCTGGCGGCGCCCCTTCCGCTGGTGGTGCTGCCCCTTCTGCAGGTGCACCTTCTGAACAATTACATGCACCTTGGGTTAAGGACTACATCTACTCTAATCTAAAGAGGCCCGGGTTCGTTTCGTCCCCGATGATGGAGCGGTTTATGCTCGCGTATGAAAAGTGCAAACGTAATTAAGAGAAGAGAATATAATGAAAGCGAAAGTTATATATATATATATATAGATATATAGATATACGTGATGTAAAACTACGTGGAAATTGTGAATAATAGATGCTCGGTTGGTCGCTGCACTGACCTGGTGGGGGTGGTGGCGGTGCTGCCCCTTCCGCGGGTGGAGCAGGTTCCGATGGAGGAGCTGGCTCTGCGGGAGGTACCGGCGATGGCGTTGGCGATGGCGTTGGGGGTTCTGGCGATGGCGTTGGAGCGGCTTCTGGTGGCGCGGGTGTCGGTGATGGCGTTGGTTGTGGAGGTTCGGGTGGTGGAGCTGGTTCCTCCTACACGGAAATAATAATACTATCTATCTCCATCCCGAAATCTCGAAACGCTTTCAATCAAAATAATCAAAGCTTCCGATAATTTTATTAGAAAAATACGAACACGAAAGGATGAAAAATGTGGTAAAACGAATGTTTATTATTTACTCGACGAGATTTCGGTTTGATTCAACCGGTCGAGATAAAATTATATACGGCGCGCATTTTAAACGCGTCGCACGCGTTAAATCGTTTGATTTACGGTCATCGTGCATATTTCACGCGCAGCCGCGTTAAAGGTCGTCGTTTATGGACACACGATTCGTACGAGCGAATGATAATAACGCTCTCTACGCGACAACGTTGGAGAGTTTGCCGTCACGGCGCGTGGCCGTTCGATAGTGTAAATCAATGGCCGTTCGCGATAACGAATATTGCCAAGATAATTAAACAATGCCGTTCCAATGATAAACAATGCTACGGTAATTCGAGTCCGCGTCCCACGAACGAGCCTCGTTTCGCGAAATTATACGCGGGTGTAATTCTGAACGCGCATTCGTCGTAAAAAGAAAAATGTGTGAACGAAAAATTAGTTGACGGATTATCGCGACAGATGGCGCTATTCTCTACGACGAAAAGGGAATAATACGATGACCGAAAACGTGAACAGTGGATCGTAACGAAACGAGAAAGGTTTACAAGCTTATTTAGCGAATCGTGAATTAAGCGTGATCTGATTGATGTTCAACCTACCGTGCTCGTTTCTCGATTGCGAATTCAATTTCTATGGATTATTCTTCTCGCGAGACTCGTGTTGAGCGAACGAGTGTCGAGTAAAAAGAAAGAAAAAAAGGGGAAATTAAATCGAACGATATCGACAATTTCGTGTCGTTCGACACGAAGCTCAAGAGCCTTCGTTTCTTATGATATAGGCACCGTCGATATTCGTATAAGACGTGGCGTAAAATTTCTCGGTTGAATGTACACGCTTCGCCATTCGACACGCCTCATTGGCTCTTTGATGTGTTTACAAACTTTTCGAGAAGCGAAGCCTCGTGAACGTGATAAAAATTTCGTTTCTCGCGCGAAAAAGAATCTTAATAATCTGATGATTGAGTCGTAAAAGTACGTGAAAATTAACTCGTAAAAGTATCTCGAATCGCGAAACTTTCAACAAGTCTCCAACATCGTGAGATGTTGACAATCGTGAGATTACGATTCTTCTAATAAAAACGATAAATTTAATCGAAGGCGACAGTTGTGACGCGAAGAAACGATACGTATACATCGATAATCGTAATAATTACTTTTTACTTTATTTAGAAAAAGAAAAAAGAAAAAAAAGACTGTCCCCTTTGATGAGCGAAAAGAACATAGAACATAAAATCGACGTAACGAGGAAGGAACGAGAAACAAAATGGGAAATGGTGGGAAATAGGGGAATGAACACACAGCCACAATGTATTTCATACTTGTTAAATATTTTGATTTACAATAAATCTTAAGTAACGATTTCCCTTTCTTGTTATTATTTCCAATTACGTTTCATTTCTATCTTCATCCGGTTCACAGAGAATTACGAATCAACATAGTGATACATGAGTGAGGATTGACAGTGTAAAAAAAAAAAAAAAAAAAAAAAAACAAATCAACAGAGACGGAGAACGATACAGGGTTTTTGTTTCCTTTTTAAAAAAATATATATATATACATATATCTCGTAGACGAGAAGAACAAGAAGAAGAAGAAAAAAAAAAAGAAAAAAAAAAGAAATCGGTCAGTCACAAAATTCTGAATTCTTTGGATTAGAACACGAATCGATATCCGATGGTGAATTCTCTCGATAAAAATCGAGGAATTCATCGTAGACGAACGAGACATACGGGCACATACGGTTTGATCTTTTCTTCTTTTTTTTNTTTTTTTTTTTTTTTTTTATACGTGCATTTCGGGAGTTGCAATATTGTAATATTAATCGAGACGAGAAGAAACAAGAAGAAAAAAAGAAGAAGAAGAAGAAAAAAAAAAAAGAATGAATAAAAAGAAGTAGCAATGAGGAAGTTTGTTGCTTGTTGCGAGATGTTATCTGGATGGATGGATGGACGATCCCTTCTCGAGAAAACATGTCGAGAACGAGCGTAACGTCAATAGCCTCATGCCTCGACCTCCTCCTCCTTTACCTTCTTTTCCTCGCCTTTCTTCGACCAGTCGGGCTTCTTCTGCAAAGTTTGAGAGAACGTACGTTAGATGGGCCGTTGCTTGGACCATAACACGATCGAAATTCTCACACGCCAGGGTCCGGGGTTAGCGGTGGTTTCGTAAACTTTCGCAAAGCAGGGTGTGTAACGGGCGGCATTTTCACGGGGTTCGTGGGGGGTGGGGGAGAGGGTAAAAGATTCGCGAAAAATTCACAAAATAAATTGATTAAAAAATTGTTAAAAAATCGCTCGTTCGATCGATATTATATATCGATTTTTTTCTTTTTTTTTTTTTTTTTGCTTTCAGGAAATTCAAATTCGATTAATTGCAAACGATTCTTCTCTCTTTATCGTCATTCGAAAAGCCGTGCACAATGTTAGTGAAGAAAAAAAAAAAAAGAAAAAAGGAAAAAAGAAAAAGGTGCGAGAGAAGTGTGTCCGTGAAAAAGAAAAAGAAAGGAAAGATCGATCTTCTCGGGTAACGATCAAAAATCTTGCTTGAAAAAAACGAGGCGTCGAAAAGGGACAGAGAGAGAGAGAGAGAGAGAGAAAGAGAGAGAAAAAAAGATTAATCTTCGTTCTAACAAAACGCGATTCGTATCGTTAAGGGGCGGTTTTTAGCAAGCGTTTTACATCTAATCCTACGATATATTTTCTTTATGCGTTCGTTCGTTCACACAATCCCTGGTAATCTACTTCACGTTATCTAATAATAACACGCATTTATTATTATTTCATCTCTCAATCACTAAGAATGCATGCCGATCTACGATCTGATCTGTTTAAAGCTTTACCTTATCTTTTGACGCGTTCTGCGAACATAATGCAAGAGCAACATCATTAGTCGACAGATAAGAGACATGGACAATTATTAGAGCGTATACATACTAATTAATAACTTAAAGATTAAGAGGTCGATCGTGACTCATTCGATCTCTTCGACTCCTCGTCCGCGATTCATTCGTTCGTGCGCTTTGTTCGATCGATCGATCGTGAATCACGTTCGACGAAGAAAGAAAATGGCGCAAATCGAGGCGTGCATCGAGCATCTCGTTTAATCCCTTTCTTCTTTAATCATCAGATATGTATGTGTAAATTTTTAATCCAATTCGATTGACGAATGATCGATGCACGGCTCGAGATAAAAGAATTCAGACGGGACAACAATCGTACACATGTACAGCCTGGAAGCATGGCAGCCGAACGATGCGCGATGTGAAGGCTAAAGCTGCAAAAGAGCTTATTGGAGAAGAGTTTTAATTGAAAAGAGTGAAACAGCGCGCGACACTTTTCCACCGTTTACGTTCGGTGTTCGTTCCGATCTATCCTCTGTTGTTGTACGTGTCGTTGTACACCGATCGTTTCCTAAACGATAAAAGGGTATACTTTGCGTAAGGGAGCCGATTAACAGGGTTTAAACAGAGAAGATAAACGAAATGAAAGAACGAAGAGAAACGGATGAATAGATTTTAAAGAGAAATGATTCGAAGAAAGAAAAAAAAAAAAAAAAAAAAGAAGAAAAAGAAAATGAAGAAGAGAAAGAAAGGAGAAAAGACAGATAGATAGATAGATAGATAGATAGATAGATAGATAGATAGAGAAGGAGATAGAACAGGCACTTGTGAGTAAAGCGCTTCTGCGATTATGTACGAAACGAAGAAGAAATTCTGTGAGTTTTAAATATATTTTGTACAAGCCATTCTCACCTTTTTTTCTTTTTTTTTTTTTTTTTTTTTTTTTTTTTTTTTACATATATATTGCTTCTTTTTATTCGTTATTATTTTTTTTTCTTTTCTTTTCTTTTTTACATCGCGTTTTCACCGGCTATTTAATATTATTATTATTATTAATAACGCGGTTAAAGTCAAATGTGAAGAAATGGCGTTAAAAGTGAGAGAGAAAGAGAAAGAAAGAGGAAAGAAAGAAGTAAGAAGTAGACGCGTTAAAAGCAAATTAAGGTATATACGGTTTCAGGTATAACCTTCGATTATCGAGCATATATATATATATATATATATATACTATAATAAAATGGATATATAAAAAGAGAGTGGAGCTTAGTGAAAAAAAATTAGTGGAGCAGAATGGAAACGATTCTCGATAAAGCTCGACCCATTCTTATCGGTTATCCCCATAATAAAATTCTCGGGATCGCATTCTTCTTCGTTCACATCTCAGGCTTTTATGGAAGAGAGGAGAGGGGGGTACGTTTTCGATATTCGCGGAGGATCGAGCTATCGGTTCGTCGAGTATGGTTCCCATATACGTGAAGGAAAAAACGAATGAAAAAGAAAAAAAAGAAACGTGTCGGAATAATGAAATAGTTTCGTGAAATGAAAAGAGAGAATGAGGAATCGAGGAAGAATAACGAGCTATCGATCGAGAGGATCGATATGAAAGAAATACGAAATAACTTCGAGGGAAAGTTGTTTCTTTATATCGATTATGATAATCGTTGACGCAATTGTATTCTTTGGCGTTCTTTTTTTTTTTTTTTTTTTTTATTTATTTTATTTTTCTTTACTTTTCGTTTGATTTTGAATTTTCGAAGAAAAAAAAAAAAAAAAAAAGACAAATCCTTGGCTTATCACCTAAAAACGTATGTATTTTCTCGTTGTACAATAATCGACGACCAGGCACGATTTACACGATAATAAAATCGAAATAAGGAGAACAGTGATAGATCAGAGATTGATGAAGCGATATATAATCGGGTGGAGTGGGGGGGGGGGGG